GAATACATATGGTATTGATTTTTCACATTACAATTTCTTTTAGCCTGAGCATAAGTATTTATACACCCACCACAGCAGGGACAGTTCTATTTCTCGCTGTTCTCAGCAGGACTGGGTATTACCATTTTGAGAAAAACGGATAATTTTTAAAATTTTGAGACAGGGGCACACTAAGAAGCCAATGTGCCCAGGGTGGGCTCGAACTTACAACCCCTCTGCCTCCACCTCCCAAGTGCTGGGAACACAGGTGGGAAGCTCAGCACCTGACAACAATGAACCCAAAAATCATTATGTTTCAATTTTAATATTGATATTTTCAAATGTTAGTTTTTAATTTTTTTTTCTTTTAGCGGAACCGGGGATTGAACTCAGGCCCTCAAGCTTGCCAGGGAAGCACTTATTCTACTGAGCCACCTCCCTAGCCCTTTAAAATATTGATTTTAAATGTTTTATAAATTACCTACTCTGCTCATGTGTCGAATGAGGTTTTTGTTGTTGTTTCAGCTAGAGTCTCACTATGTTGCCCGGCTGGCCTGGAACTTGCCACCCTCTGCCTCGGCCTCCTAAACAGCTGAGATGACAGACTGCAGCTTTCTCCTTTAACATTAAGTGTTCTTCATACAAATACTGAATCAGACTGTCAGGTAAGTATCAGGTGTTTCGTCCAACTTCCGCTCCTCTTTCAATTGTTCATGGAATTTTATTGTGGCAGTATTTTGCATGTATGTAGCGGTATGTTTCTTAAGGATCTTTCCATGTTGTGTGCATTTTACTCTTCTTACAGTCAGTGCCCTGTGAAGAGGGAAGTACACAGCGCCTGCTCCCGGGATTGCCTTGCGGAGTGGCAGCCGTCGGCATGACAGGCAGGTAGGAGGCGGTGGCAGCGGTGCGTGGGCTCAGGGGTCTGAAGTCAGCTTGCCCACCGCAGCCAGGGAATTCAGCAGCACGCAGCCGGTGCGCAGCACGAGGGACTCCCCGAGCCTGCAGTCCTCAGCTGTACCCGCCGGGAGGCCGACACACGCTGCCTGGTGGCCAGTGC